GGAAGAAATCAAGTAAAACTTGTCCTTCCACCCGGACCATTTGGACACTTTGTCCAAAGTCATCAAATATTGGGGCAAGGTAGTTAGAGTATACCATGCCCCATGGCTGCCTGGGGCCTTGCTCAAATAGTGCATGTGAGCGAAGGCGGAAAAGCTTGGGTTTATATTTTGGAACTCGCAGGCGGCGATTTAGCTTAGAATGTTCACCCACGAATTGGGGGTGAGCTGCCAAACTCCTACATCGTACCCCTTTAGGATTTTCCTTATCCCGGGGTGGAGGGGGAACCGGAGGCCGGCTTTGATGACCACCTCGTAGCACACGAAGTAATGGTCTGCATTATCAATATCATCGTTCCAGGCCATTACAGCGTCAGCCGGAGGAACGATGATGTCCCAGCCCCTTCCAAAGGGGTGCTTTTTTTTGAAGGCCCTAAACCGCTCTTGAGAAGGGCAATGTTACCCAGTAGCATCCGGGTCCGTTTGGGGTTGGGGTTGTCAGCGACCTTAGGCGGCTGTTGATAGTCAGCCGAAAAATTATCTTGGTCAGAGCCGGAAGATTTGACCCTTGACCCTTGGCCGGCCTCAGCATCGCCGGCTTCATTAGAGGAGGCGGCTCCCTCGCCGTTTACCCCTCGTACCCCCGAGCTCCCGGAAGTAGAGAGAGCCTCTTCATCGGAACCACTCTCCTCCAAATCCCTCTGTTCCCCGTCGGGAACAACCTCATCGGCTGGCACTTCCATAGTGCGTCGGCTCCTAGACCGTTTGGCCGTCTGTTTCATTCTGGTTATTGTGTCCTGCACAGACACAGAGAGGGAGGAATTCGGAGATGAGTATATCGGTTCCGACAGTCCAGAAAAGGCACCCTCTGTTCTAGACTCAGCCGTTCCGAGGGACCGGCTGAGTGTCCTAGGCAGTGCCGAGTAAGTGGATTGATAACTCATTTATATTTTCTAAAAACTAGGTATACAGGCGGAGAAAAAATTGTTTACAAGTTGAAAAGGAGAAAAGCTAAAATGGTACAGGCGGTTACCTTCCTTTTACTCTGAAAAATCTGAAAAACCGCTATAACCGGTAAGCCTGGTGTTCAACTTCTAGCACACGGAAACTTGAAACTGTTTTGATGCAAACGGAGGCAGAGAATTTCTCTCTTTAAGCTCTCACTTTCTCTCTCTAAAAAGTCAAAATGAGCGTAAGGTGAGAGAAAGGGGGGTAAACTTCTATTTATAGAATGTGAAAGCGGGGGAAACTTTGATTTGAAATTTAAAGTTTACTACCCGTTACTGTTCACCTTTGAAAGGTGGACACGTGTCACAGGCCCCACGTGATATGCACGTGCGCCCTGTGAGGGGCAAATGTTTAGGGTAAAAATACCCTAGACACGTGGACCAATGAGAGGAGGCCACATGTCGAGTTCAGGATGGCCCACGTGGCTTAATATCCTCTTGACACGTGGCCCCCTTAGATACATCTCTGAAATGGCGACCTTCAAGGGCCCAAATCCCAAGAAGCGCCGTAAAACGGCGCAGCCCACTGAAATTTAGGTCAAATGACCTAAATAGGGGCACGTTCTCCAATGACCCTATAAATAGGGAAATATTTCCCCATTTTGGGGACACATTCAATCATTTATTACACCTACATTTCTCTCACATCAGAGAAACACCTGAGCTTGGAATCCAAGCAGATCCCCACCTAAATTTTCGTACTCTTTATTCCCTTTCAAGTTACTAACTTGATCGTCGGAGGCGGAGCTCCTACCACCCGGAGTCTCCGTTGTTTTGCAGGTACAACTCACCCACATCAGAATTCGTGACGTAACTCTCCCGAGGGACAAAAACACCCAAAACACTCGGTATCGATGCTCTTAGCTCGATATTCGACGTCTATGATCATAATACTCTAATGACTCATTAATTCCTTTCGAATTAATTTGTCATCATGGATCGGTTACTTGATTGGGTGTGACCCGTAGGGTTCAGTCAAGAGTAAGATGTAATATTAATATATATTAATATTACTGATCAAAAGTGGCCTCTAGCTAGGCATTCCGATCATTTGACCTCACTGAATAATTAGCTTTCTAATAATTCCGAACCGTCTATCGGAATAATACACTTGTTTGAAGGACACCATTCTATTTAGAATCATCATAATTAGATCCAACATCATCCACATCAATCGTCATTGTATATTTGTATACCAAACATAAGTGGACTAATTGAGTGAATGCATGAACAATGAATAAAGCGCAACAATATATAATGAGCCTTGTTTAAAGGGATTCCCGTTATGCAAGAATAATTGCATAACGAGGGGTAAGAGTGTAATCGCACGTAATATATATATATATATATATATATATAATAATAATAATAATAATAATAATAATGATAATAATAATGATAATAATAATAATAATAATAATAATAATAATAATAATTTCGGGTGGATAACGGATCGGGTGACGGATGACGCGGAGTTAAACTCGAATCCGACCCGATTTGTCACCCACATACGTCACTTACTCTTCATCCATTTAATAGGGATATTCGTCCATTAAATTAAATCGGGTGGATCGGGTTGGCGGATATGCGTTTACATTTGCCATCCCTAGCAGGACAAGTCTAGCAGCAATATTAAGGTTTTTAGACCTCCAAATCTTAATCCTTGCACAAATTTTGTCTATCATGTTCTCACATTCGACTATAGAAAATCTTTTTTAGTTGGTTGACACCCCTAAGTATCTAAAAGATAGATGACCTCATGGAGAAACTCCAATGGTTATAGGGACTTGCTTGCAATTTTAAATATTCCCTAGCTACTAGCTTGACCATTGGAGTAAAAATACGTAATTAGCTTAGTCAAGCAAATTAGCTTTGCCAAGCTAAATTTGCTTGATAAAAACTTGTCAAAAAGAAAATGTTAAAAGTCAATTAGTAATTAAGATAAAAATAATAAATTGATAATTTAAATAGTAAGCTAATAGCTAGCCATTGGGGATCAAACTAGCTACAAACATAATTAGCTTGAAAGCTTATGTGGCATGACAAGTTAATTTGATAATTAGCTTGCCGTTGGAGTTACTCTTACAAACTCAGTAATACCCAACACCTCATTAACCAGGCTTTTATTCATCCCAATGTAGTATACTGAGTTTTTTTTTTTAAGATTAGCCTTCAGAACAGTTGCCTTAGAAAAGACTTCAAACCCTTTCATCATCAGCTTAATAGACTCCACATCCCCTTTACATCAAATAATTAGGTTATCAACAAAATACAAATGAGTCAAACCCAAGCCTTACACCTTTGATGAAAATTGAACTTCTCCATGCAACTCACAAGTCATAATCTCCAATATTCTGAAAGGTATTCAATACAAAGAACAAAAAATAGGAGGAGAGAGGGGATCACCCTGTCTCAAACCTCTTTTTGGCTTAAATAATCCATGCAGACCCCTAATATCATTAAAAGAGTTCTTACACATATTATGATCATTTCAATGAAACTTTGAGGAAATTTCAGAGCTTCCACACATCTCTTTTATGAAATTCCATTCACCTGTATCATATGCCTTCTTCAAATCCAGCTTAATTTAACACCCATCATTTGCATTTGTTCTGCCATATTGCCTAACCAAGTCTTGACAGACCGTGATGCTATGCACTATGTATCTGCTGTGCACAAAGACACTTTGATCCTCAGCAATTATATAAGGGAGAACCTGTCTCAATCTATCACATATAACTTTAGAGATGCCAAGTCAAGTCAAAATCAAGTCGGGTTAAAATTGGGTTGGGTTAATAGCAGTTTGGATAAAAAACAATTTGGATTGAATCGGGTATTTGTTGAATCAATTTCGGTTCAGAGTTCAGGTCGGTTCAAATTGGTTCAGTTTGAGTTCAATTCGGGTCAAATCATTTCGTGTTGAGTTCATGTCGGGTCAAATCGGTGCCGAATTAAGTTCAAATCGGATCCAATTCAGATTCGGATTGAGTTTAGCTCGATTACAGATCGGGTTTGGGTGTAAAGTCTCTCAAAACAAATCAGATCACTTATAGTTCAAAATGGATAATTTTCCGTGGTTTGGTTCAGTTTTGACACCTCTACTTTGAATTCTCGATTCGCTCCCTTGGTAGTATGCTGTCCAATCCCCAAAAATCAATGCTCCCTCCGTGTTTTTTTAAGTGTTACAGTTTGACCGGCACATAGTTTTAGACAATCTAATTGAGTTAAATAAAATAAGAGGTAAGTGGGGTAGTTGGAGTATTAAAAAATTGTAAAAGAAAAATAGTGGAATTAATAGTTTATTGAAAAGTAATGAATGTGAGAGGAAGGATATAATAAAAAAGTAGTAGTGGGTTTGGATGGGACCATGAGTGGAAAAAGATATAATATCATAATGTAGCTTTGTGCCAAAAATAGAAGTGCAACACTTATTAAAATACGACCGGATTTGATAGGTGTAACTAAGGGTGAAAGTAATTTGGATTAAAACCGAACCGAACTGAAAACCAAACCGAATTAGTAATTCGATTTGGATTTTTTTTTAATTTGAATTGGATCCAATTGGAAAAATTAAAGAATATGGATTACGGATTGGATTCGGTTTGGGGTTTTAAAAACTGAAAACCGAATTACAAACCGAATTTCAACCCAATACTTGTAGCCCATTTTCTTTTTCAAATTATCCAACCACTTTCCCTTTTCATATACTACGTATAAACTTTAAAATTAAACCTAATTCTCAATTCTCCTTTTCTCAATATTTTACTCTCTCACAAAGAATGTAGTTAACAAGAAATGATTGTAGGAATTTTTTGGGTGAAGTTTGAGTTTCGGGTTTGAATGTTGCAAAAGAAGGGAACAAATTTCGGTTTGGATTGAATTCTAATTTGAAAAACCGAATTAATTCGGTTCGGATTGGATTGGATCGAATCTGAATTCGATTTGGATTCGGATTGAGATTTCCGAAACCGAATTAATTCGGATTGAATTCGGTTTTGGCTATAATCCAAACCGTAAACCGAACTTTCACCCCTAGGTGTAACATTTAAAAAAACACGGAGGGAGTAACACTCTTTCTCAAAAAAAACCATTTTCCAATTCCATTCCAATGCTTCTAAAACCCTAACCAATCTACCATAACACCATCAATGGAAGACACTGATGGAAGTTTGAGCTTCGATTTTGAAGGCAACCTCGACACTATCCCTAACATCCCCACTGCTTCTAATCCCGTCATCCAACCTGATCCAAATGCCGCCCCTTTCGCCGGAGCCGCCGTCGCAACTGGCGGTTCTGCCCCTTCTGACCAGACTTCAGGGCAAGGCAATCGCCGCAGCTTCCGGCAAACCGTTTGCCGCCATTGGCTTCGCAGCCTGTGTATGAAGGGGGATTCTTGCGGCTTCCTTCACCAATACGACAAGTCTCGGATGCCCGTCTGCCGGTTCTTCAGATTGTATGGCGAGTGTCGTGAGCAGGATTGTGTTTACAAGCACACCAATGAAGATATTAAAGAGTGCAACATGTATGTCTCTAATTTTTTTTAATCAATTTGTTTGTTTGTGATTTTACTTGTTTTTAAGGTGAGTAGTTATGAATTGTATTGCTTTCCCGTAGATTGATAGCCGAGCTTGTCGGACCGTTATTAGTGTTGAATTGTATTGCTTTCCCGTGGATTGACAGCTGATCTTGTCGGACCGCTGTTAGTGTTGAATTGTATTGCTTTCCCGTAGATTGATAGTTGAGCTTGTCGGACCGCTGTTAGTGCTGAATTGTATTGCTTTCTAGTAGATTGATAGCGGAGCTTGTTGGACCGCTGTTAGTGCTGAATTGTATTGCTTTCTAGTAGATTGATAGCGGAGCTTGTCGGACTGTTGTTAGTGTTGAATTTTATTGCTTTCCCGATTGACTGATAGCCGAGCTTGTCGGACCGTTGTTAGTGTTGAATTGGTTGGCCTGCAATTGTAGTAGGAGAATGGAAGTATTCTTTAACAATGCCATGTTTAACATGATTAAAAGTGATATCAAGGCCTGTAGTTATTGGTATATGCGTTTGTGCTGTACTTCTAGGGGGTGTTTGTTTGTAGGGATTGTAGGTGGGATAGGGATTAATAATCCCTTGTATCCTATAATCCCTTGTTTGTTTAATGGGAATTGTTCTATCCCATATGAAAGGGATAGGGATAAAAAATAGTTAGATTTTTGTAACAAGAGGAGGGGGGGGGGCATGTACAAGGTGTAGGGATTAATTTTGAAATGTAAAAACAATTTTACCCTTAATGAAAGGGAAGGAAGAGGGGAGAGGAGAAATGTTAGCAAGGATAGTTATTTAATTTTACTATTTATTCCAATTTAATTCCCAAATCTTACCAAATAATGGATAACATAATTTTTATCCTTATCCCACCTATTAATTCCCTATCCTTATCCTACCTTCTTATCCTCATTATCCCTATCCCTATTGCCAAACGCCCCGCTAATAGAAATAAGGTGAGCGGGTAGGTGTTGCCAAATACTATTTAGTGAATTATTGATTCTTTAGCAGAATTTGCTCTGTGAAGGCTCGATTAATTAGATTTATTTGGGTTAAGTAACGGCTGGGATAGGAGATGTGGTGAGAAAACACCTTACGTATTCTTATATTTGATGTCTTCTTTATTTTAGTAGACTAGAGTGTACCTGTCCATACGGGATTATATGGAAGTGCATTGGCGAGGCTATTGCCTATTGGTGTAGGTACTGGGTAGTTATTGAGATTTTTTTTTTCAAAAGATAAAGTGTTAGAATTAATGGATTAGGCTTTTGAAGCTTTCATCTTAAAACTGACTTCTAAATAAATATATACCAGTAGATTACTAAACCACTCCCATTAGATTTATGATGATTGTGCCGGTTATAGTGTAGCCGGTTTTCCATTTTCACATCAGAAATAGATTGAAGAAGAATTTTTTGAGAGTGACCAAGGTGTTGCAGCTGTCCGGATCAGAATTTCTAGGGATGCCTTGCCCATGTTACTCGTAGACTCAAAATTTGTGGACAGAGGAACTATAAGATTTTATCTAAATTTATTTTTATTAAGAGAATTCTTAATTAATAAAATTCTTGTTTTTTGGGGGGCTAATTTTAAACATCCGTAGTATACATCCTCCTTAGCTCAGATAGTTGTTAATTATTTTCCTTAGTATTGATTGTGTGAAGGAAAGGAGAGTAGGGGTTTTATTGAACATTATATTTTATGATATAAACCTGGCAGCACCGTAGCGGTTACTTAGTCTGACTAAACTTTGTTTAATATATAATTGTATTCTCTAGCCAATAACAGCCTTTGTTTAGAATGATAGTCGGTAAGTTAATATTTAGAAGAGGAAGTTCAATGAGCAATAAAAGAAGTGTATACCAATGGTACATAGTGAGTGGCTAGTATGTAAAGAGCTAAAGATGGTTCAACAAATTTAAAAGGTATTTATAAGATCAAACACATAAGGGAAAACCCGTTGCCATGCTCTTTTTCTTATAAAGAAAATTACGTATACTTTTATTGAAGAATGTTAAGCACAAGGACTAAGATATAGGGAGCTCATTTTTGTTGTTACCACAACCTTAAGGGGCCAAATAACTTTAAGTTATGAGGTATGGGGTTAATATCTGATCTCTAATTTTGATACATGAAACCTATACCTAATTAAGTGTTTGCTTGCTACATAATAACAGAATACCTTTCTCCCTTGTACTTATTTTCTATCCTCTATCATCACCATTTTTTTTATGATCCATCTCTTCTTCTCCAACAAACTCATCTTTGCCATGCTTCTTTTTTTTTTTTTAATTTTTTTTTTAATTTTTTTATGATCCATCTCTTCTTCTCCGACAAACTCATCTTTGCCATTCTTTTTTCTTTCTTTTATTTTTATTTTTATTTTTTATGATCCATCTCTTCTTCTCCGACAAACTCATCTTTGCCATGCTTCTTTGTGTCGACTTTGCCTTTGCTAAGAACACCTTGGCATCCTACTTCAACAAAAATTCAATGGGTTAAGAGGTTGCTTTTACTATCGTTTTTTCATTTTTTTTTTATTTTAAAAATTTTTAATGCAACAAATACTTTGTTTTAGAACTAAAAATAATTTGGTTTCTAGAATTAAAATTCACATCCTCAATTTAAGCATGTATATTTATCTCACAAATCTCACCACATGAAAATTCTACACTACACATAAAAAGCCATGGAACATAAGAGTAAAAGACTGCCTTTAGTTTCAATCTACAATTTTTAACTTTTGTAGCACAAAGGCCCTACCAAGTAGCATATTTGGTGTCTATATTTTCCTTCACTTCCTACCTTTGAGAAAAGGGGGAGTTTTCATTGGTGATCTTGTGTCATTGTATATTTTGTTTGATTGCCAAAAGAAATTGCAATTTTCATGAATAACCCAATATTTCTGATTTATATTCAAGGGTGGCATTAATGAGTGTATTTGGTTATTTTATCACTCGAGTGGATAATATTTGTTGATATTTATTGCTTCAAAAAAATGAAAAAGAAAAAGAAAAAGAAAAAGAAAAAGAAAAAAAAACTATCACCAACTAACCAGCTATGCAATCAACTCACCAAGGGAGCCACCATCACCACCATCAGCAGGGCATTGATTTTACCACCAAGCCACAACTCAATAACTGCCACCATCCACCGCATGAGTCAATCTCATCTAGTTGCCTCCAGATGTGTGTGAGAGAGGGGGTATATATACCTATCGTGCTCATCAGATGTTTGTGAGAGGGGGGATATATACCTATTTTGCTGAATAGCGAAGAATGCAGATGTGTGTGAGAGAGGGGGATTTATAAACCTATCTTGCTTAACAATGAAGAATGAAGATGTGTGTGAGAGAGGGTGGATTTATATATCTTTCTTCCTTTCAAGGTTGAATTAGATAATAGAAGATCCTCATCTAGAGTTTTACTTGTAACATGGAGTTTGATAGTTTGGGCTGTTTTATGGGTAGGTTAATTGATTCATATCATAGTCATTTCTTTATTCATTTCCTTTTCCTTTAAATTTAACCTAAACACTTTTTTGTTAAGCATGATAATGTATTTTTTTTAAACCAAAAACCATTATTAATGATTGTTTATACAAAAATGCCAAAGCATAAGGCCATTTATTAGATTTGCAAACTTTTTTAGCTACCAAATGTAGAGTGCAATTTCATAGGGCCATTAATGAGAGTTCCCCTCATAAATATTGGACATTTCAAGCTGTAATAGAATCCCTTCAAGACTTCAGTTTGTAAAGCAAACTCTAAGGCATCACATGGTAGCCTTTGAGCCTATCATGAATGTCTTCAGAAGAGGATACTTCTATATGTTTGGTTTCAAAATCTTTCTAAGACGGCGGTTGGGGTGATGGAGAGGGGCATGGTTTGGTAAAGAAGAATAAGAAAAGGTTTTATGGTTGAAAAATTGTATCTTGTTGGATAGTAAACTCCACTTCAAAATCCTTTGGCTTATAAAATGCTTCCCGAAATCATTTTTAAAAAAATGGCAGCACTTTTAGTGTTGTACTATTCATATATACCAACTTTGACAAGTATCTTAACTAATTATTTGTAAGTTAAAGTACGCCCTTCGTTCCTAAATAATTGACACACATGTCACTACATTAGTTTGGATATATAGCAATATATATGATTAAATATTAGTAAAATAAATATTAAAAAGTTAGATCATTAATACCTATATAACTATATATTTCATGATAAAATTGCTTTTTATACGTTATGTATGGACTGACTTAGGTTGCCGGAAATTATGACGAATTAAAGCAACAAAGTTGAATGCTTGATTAATAATAGAAGGAGGATTACAAGTTAATAGCTTGAAGATTGCTCTGACCAAGTAGCTTGAGGCTATTACTCTCACCAAGTAGCATGAGGCTATTACTCTCACCTACTCTACTTATACTTAAGATGGTCAAGGATTTCGTTGAAGCTTAACATGTGATACTTAGCTAAATTAGAAAAATACAGTTAAACAAAAAAAAAAAAATATATTGCTTTGATGCTTTCTTTCCTTCTCTTCTTCTTAATTAATTTTGTCCTCTTCTCAATTAGAGCTTCCATAATTCATAAGAGTGTTTGCTGCTGTTGCTTTTTCACCTCCTTGGTTGACTTGCCTTCTTCTTGCATGGACCCGTATGGGTGGTTGACTTGCTTGGACACCTTGACTACTTGGGTCCGTGACAATACCCTGCCCAAAAGACTCATCTTATCCTCAAGGAAGTCAGGGAAGCGCTAACAGGGACTCGCCATCTTCCCAGGTGGCTTGGCTTTGAACTCCGCAACCCTTTCCACTTGACAGGACTTCCCTCCCCTTCCCATTGACGGCGTCCGCTTGTCGGACATCCATAATTGCATTAGGTTCAATTACCAACTCGCACTCATCGTTAATCTACTATGGGAGGTTCACCAAGGCGTCCCCCACCGCGCGTTTCAATTAGGAGATGTGAAACACGGGTTGAAGCTTGCT